GTAAATCTTCATCACTGTGGACTAGGAGATGGTTTCCTAGATATGACACCTAAGTCACAAGCAACCAAATTAGAAATATACAAATTGGACCTTATATATTTAAAAACTTTGGTGCTTCAAAGGACACTATCAAGGAATGAAAAGAGCATACAGAATGGAAGAAAAAATTTTGCTGATCACATAGGTTATAATGGTCTAGTGTCCAGAATATTAAAAAACAATAACTCGTATAAAACAACAATAAAAAGACAAATAACCCAATTTAAAAATGAAGAAAGGATTTGTATAGATATTATCCAAATGGTCAATAATAAACACATGAGAAGATGTTCAACATCTTTAGTCATCAGGGAAATGCAAATCAAAACCACAGGGAGAGATCACCTCACACCCACTACAATGACTATAATGAAAAAGACAGACAACAAGCATAGCACAGACAGCATGTACAGATACTGGAACCATATACATTGCTGGTAGAAATATAAAATGATACAGGGTCTTTGGCTAAAAGTTTGGCAGTTCCTCAAAATGTTAAACACAGAGTTACCATATGAGTCAGCAATTCCACTCCTAAGTATACACTTGAGAGAACTGAAAAATATATGTTCACACAAAAATTGCACACGAATGTTCACAGCAACATTATTCAGAATAGCCAAAAAGTGGAAACAATATAAATATCCATTAACTGATGAATGGAAGTAAAATGTGGAGTATCTATACAATGGGATATTATTTGGCCATAAAAAGGAAAGAAGTTTTGACATACACTGCTCAAACCTTGAAAACATCATGCTAAGTGGAAGGAGCCAGAAACAAAGGCCCCATATTGCATGATTCCATTTATGAGAAATGTTCAGAATAGGCAAATCCATAGAGACAGAAAGATTAGTGACTGCCAAGGGCTGGAAGGAGGAAGAATGGGGAGTGACTGTTAATGGGAATTGGGTTTCTTTTTGGGGTGATGGAAATGTTTTGGAATTAGACATTGATGATGTTGCATAACCTTGTGAATATAGTGAAAACTGATGATTCATACACTTTAAAAGGGTGAATTTCAGGGTATGTGAATTATATCACAATAAATTTTTAAATGAAGTTCTTTAAATTATCCTGCCAATGATGTAGTGTAAAGCCCTAATGAGGTCTTTGTAGGAGCCAATAAATAAAAACCAGAAGAAACTTCAAGGGAAAGTTAATATTGTTAAAGTGGCAAAATAATTGCATAACTCCTTGAGTAGATTGGGAAAGTAGAAATAAAAGATGAAGCTGAAAAAGAAATCCCTGATTAACAAAAAAGTCTTTCAAATCCAGAAGAAGTTTAGGTGAGAGCGGAGGAAAAATAAACTAATTCTTTATTTAATAATCTTTCCCTTATTTGACCATAACCCTGAATCACAGCCCCTCAGAGGTACTGCAGGGGACATGAAGGTTTTAAGAATAGCATTATTATGATCCCATTTTATTTGCAGCTCAAGGAGATGAAACAAACCACCTAGTATTACACAGTAATTTGAGGAAGCCAAGAAATTTGCTGGAAGCTCTCTCCTAATGCTTTACCTGCCAGCTATTTTTCATATTGAAAATATCAACTTGAAAGTAACATTATAAAGCCATATTTATATCCCTCAGTCTAAACTAATCAAGAATTACTGTTAAGTATTAAAGCCAATGTTTATTCCAGCTTGTATTCTAAACACTACCTAAAAACCTTCTGGTTGGATGAGAATATTCCATTTTCTGGCTACCCGGGAATTAAAATTTTAAGTGAAATTTAAAAGTTTTCTTAACTGAAGTTAAAGAACAATAATTCCTATCTCATATCCCAGCCACAAAGAATGAATAATGAATGAATGAATGAACGAATTTTTCCACAGAATTGTGAAGGACCAAGATCCTCTCACATTAAACACAAGATGCAGACAATGATATTATCTCGTTGGAGATTTTGGGAAAGGACATTTTGCAAGAGCATGTTATGCAAACACCAGGACTTGTGGCTTTATAGGCAAGGGTCAGCAGCCTCATTAGCTTCACCTTTGTGGGGCCAGTGATCATAAGGAATATTTGCATAATGATTTCATATATTCATTTTACTTAATCAGCACAACAACCCTACAAGAGTAGACCAGGAATTATTACATTATTATCCATTTTACATCTTACAAAGCGAGGGTTCAGAATAGGGAAGTGACTTGCCGAAAGTAACCAGGCTGGTCAGCCACAGAGCTGAGACTCCAAACTGGATCTTCTAATGTGAGATCCCATCTTCTTTCCACCGCATGCCCCACTTCTCAGCTGAGCTATGTCAAAGACAAGCTTAGATATTCTACGAAACGACAGAATAAGAGGAAAGGAAGGAAAGTGGTGAGGAAATAAAAGGGGACGATGTGTGGGGAAGGAGGTATTTTATTAGAAAGTGAGTCTAACCACCCTCAATTGCCCCAAACGCCCCTCAAGTGGCAACAGTGCCACAAACTACCCTTCTCTAAATTAATCCCATTTTCCTAGGTCTACACTTATTTTATTAGTAGAGAATCATGTTGGAGACAATGTCTAAAAGAAATCTGAAGATTTTTCTCCTCTGAGGTTCTAGCAGCTGAATTTAGCCCCTCCCACAAAGGCCGATGGCCCCTAGGTCTCGGTCAGATTAAACGCCGCGGGAGCAGAAGAACCATGAGGTGTGGAGAAATGAAGGGAAGAGGGTTTGGGTTCGGGGAAAGGGGGAGGCTACGGTTGGGCTAAGGAGAGGGGGAGCCTGCGGTGCAGCTGTGGTTGAGGGATGTGGGTTTTGTGGCTGAACTCGAAGGTGGGGTAGGAAACCAGGATCAGAGCTGACAGTCGGGGTAGAGTTTACAGGTTCAAGAGAGGTTAGGGTAGTTGAGGGGCTCACAGTGCCAGAGAAGGACCTTAGAGGCTGCGAGGCTGGGTGGTCGCCGGCGCGAGGATGGAAGCGAGGCCCCTCTCGGATGTCTGTGATTGGATGCTCCCTTAAGTCCCGCCTTCCCGGACCCCTTTTCCCTCAAGCCCCGCCTACACTGCCGGGGACGCGCCTGAGGAGCGGGGAGGGGGACTAAGCTGGAGAAGGGGGGAGGGGGAGAGGAGAGGTTCGTGCACGCGCTCCACTGGTTGCGGGTGCGCGAGCAGCGCGCTCCCGCCGCCCGCGTCGCCATCTTTTTCCCCCTCCGTCTGTCTGTCTGCCGTTGGCTTTGTCCGTCTGCAGCGCCGCCCCTCGGCTCCCCGCCACCGGCTAGGCTCGGAGCGCCCTCCGCCCGCCGGGGCCCAGTCTTGGAGAGCCCCGGCCCGGCCGGCCCAAGCTGCGGCCCGGGGCCCATTGTCCGGCGGTCCGTCTGTCCGGAGGCGGGGCCCAGGAACCCGGAGCGCCGTAGAGCGCCGAGGCGCCGGGTAAAAAGACCCCCGACTCCTTCCCTTACAAGCCAGGCTGAGAATGCAAGGGCTCCTCACCCACCCACACTCTTTGGTCGCCAGGTGTTGGTCCTTTTGTCTGTCTGCGTCTGGGGAGGGGGCTAGGGGCTTGTTCTGGCCTTGGGGGCGGGGGCAGTCCAAGCTCTGACCCTCCGCCCTGCCCGGGTTCCCGCGACGAGGCCAGACACGGCTGGCTCTCCACGGCGGCCGTTCCTCTTCCCGTCCCCCTGGCGGTCTCGGGCGCGGGAGGAGCGTCCGCGCCGCCGCCCTCCCCGCGTGGGCCCGGGTCCGGCTCGGCCGGGCACCGCCGGGACGGCTCGGGCTTCTGACAGGCTGGGCTAGAGCTGGGGGAGGGGGAGGATGGGCGTGGGATTGCAGACCGGGGTATCAGTCCCGCGTCGCGGTTTTACAGAAAAGCTTCTAAATTTAGATTTCTGAGAAGACTGTGTCGTCTGAGGGGCTGTCTGAGCCGCCTCGAAAGACCTCTGGCTCTTGTCTGATTATTTCTGGGATTCTACCTGTGCTCCTGTTGGAAGAAGCCAGGAGACCATCTCGGCTGATTATACACACACTCCAGACCAAACAAGTGGGAAAAGGGTGAACAGTGAGGCGGCTACGTGACCAGCTTTCTTGTCCTCTCCTTTTTAGCAGATACAAATCACTGAGATTCAGGAGAGTTTACTTTGCTCCGTGGGAACTGCACCAGAGCTGGAGGTGGGAGTGCACCCTCTTTTCTTAAAGCTTGGATTTCACCTTTTTTTTTTTTCTTGCTAAAGACTGTGGTGTGTCCTGGAAGCTGCAACCTAACACCTGTGGGAGAGCAGGGACAGTGTTACGGGGAGACGTTTCCCCCCTCCTCCCAAGGATTCTTAACCTCGTTCTAAAGACAAAACTGCCTTCATTTTAAAATAGAATCCCTTGTAGACCTGAATCTCACCGGTTACCTTTCTTCCCATCCTGTTTTTCTTCCAGATGGTGATATTCGGGCAGCTGTCTATTTACATTTTTGTGTTGGTTTCGGATTCAGGCTTGGGAACTGAGGCAGTGTTAAAAGTAAAACTGAGATAGTGAACTTTGGGGCAATGTGTCTATGGATTTTATTAGCTTTTATTGCCTATAAAACAATTTCTGACCTCTGAGATCTTGCTGTGTGATCAAGAATGTACTTCCACTGCTAGTTATTTATCGTTAATTAATTAGTTAATTAATTATCTTATTTATTTTCAAGATTCCATGACGCCACAGGCTTTTGTTTTGTTTTGTTTAGGGAGGGAAGAGTATTTGCTTATGTTTTCCCCTCAATACCTCAGGTGTGAAGTCCCATTGGGTACCATCTGGTGGGTTCCCCATTTGGCCACTAGGAGGATTGTGGACACTGGCAATTTAAATATGCAGATACTGATCTGTTTCTGACTTGTAGCTTTAGTATTGAACTGTTGTCTCACCAAGATGATCTGAATAGAGCCCGTCTCAAATTATTTGGCCTTCCTTCAGAAGAATTTTTATTACCTTTATCTCACAGTTTCAATTTCTGATCTCAATGGAAAGAAAATTTAAAGGTTATTTAAGATTTCTAAGATTTCATTTTTTTCCTTCTACAGTCGAGGTATAGCTCTGCAAATTTTAGAAAAAAACGATAGGAAATCTGCATTTCATTCAACTTTCCACTTTGTGACTCCACAGACTTACAAGAAAAGACCCAACTTGTAATATTTATTCACTCCTTCCATTAATAAAATAACTGCTTGATTAGAAAGAAATGATTTACACAGACAAAGAGAACACATTTCATTAGCATGAGCACTCAGCATACTGCCCTCTAAATAGTTGAAACAGATTTTTACTGTATACATTTAGAGTTGTTTTTTTTTTAATTAAAGGTCTGAAAAAGAATTGTGTTTGATATGCAGATATGATAGAAGACTGCCTGAAAGCTGCTTCCTTTGCCACTTCCTGTGGAGGCCTGTCTTTGCCATTTGCGGTTTCTTTCTTCTCTTGGTAAGGGGAGGCAGGATCTGATTACAGGTCTGAGGTCCTTTGTAGCTACATTGAGGAGTTAGTTGGCATAACAGAAGGCGAGTCTTCACTAACTGGAGTGCAAAGTATAGCTAGTAGTAAGTAGCCTCTTAAGGCAATAAACTACAATTTTATATTTGCATATTCAATGTGAGTACAGTTTGAGAAAGCAGGAACTGAAGGAAAAGTTAGAGGGTACCCAGATCCATACTCTTATCTTTGCTAGGAAACAAAATATCTTTCTTTTTGATCTGTGTCTGTTTTTTCACTCTGTCTTTCAAAAAAAAATGCACAGTTTCCACTACTAATCCATTTCAGACTCTCTAACAACACTTAATGCTGGGAAAGTCTTCCTTATAACTAACCAGGAACCTCCAGGCTGAAGTATCTGTTCCTTCCTCTTTCAGGGAAGTAAGTGCATGTCTCTGCAGCACTTCTCATTTGGGGACCTTTTCTCTTTGTTCTTCCCACGGATCTCTTTGCTACATAGCGGCTGGATTGAGAAGAGGCACCAAAGTTATTAACTGTGATGACTGCTCAGAAGCATGTGAGCAGGGCCAGGTTGAAGTTTCACATTGGGGAGCTGAATTAGTACTCCGCAATGTGGATGGCACCTGGCTCTTCTGGTGTGAAAGCCCATCTTCGACATTGGAAGTCTGATTTGCATTAGTGCCCTGTCATCCACAGTGCCCAGCACTATGCCTGCATCACTAGGTAGAAACTCTGTTTCCCATGTTTTCCTTTACAAATGCCTAAGCGTTTTGAGATGCTCCCTGTCTCATAGGGATGTGATGCCTTTGTCACCTCCAGGTGACATATCTTTTTGGAAAAAAAAAATCTGGAGGCTCCCATTGGTGTAGACTGCAGGGCTTGACTTCCAGAGGGCATGTGACATGTGAGCTGCCACCCTCTTTAGCTTCCTTTTGCTTCCTTTTACGATTCATAGGGGTTATCCCTTTGACCCCACGGTGCTTCTAATGCTGGCTGCCTCAATTTTTTGCTTCCTTTTCTACTCTGTGACCTTGATCATGATCATGTAACAGTATTCTGTATTCCACAGATGGATTTAAAGTGGAATTCTCTAAATCCTCTGGAGTCCTCTCAGACTTCTTGGGACCTTGATGTTGTGCTAGAGATTTATTCATTTCTTTCTTTCTTTCTTTAAGTAGTTCAGTGATTTATAACTGGTGAGTTTTATATGCTCAAGAACCATTTTTAAGTCTTTTTATCTTTTAATGTTGTATAATTTCTGGGCAAAATGACATGTGCTAACATTATCCTTTTTATTGTAGGTCAGCACCTTGCAAGGAGGTAGTATCATCCAGTCGTGAAACTGGGAAAAGCCAGAGCTCTTGGATCAGGGAAACATGTCCCGTCGGAAACAGACAAATCCAAATAAAGTTCACTGTGAGTACTGGGCTTTGTTTCTGAAACCTGGGAACGTTGAGGGTTAGAATGGAAGAGTAATCTGAATTTAGGTGAGAGGCTCACACTAATTTGTGGAGAAAAAAGGGTTAAAGATTTTGAACATAATGGATTTAAAGTGTGTCTGTGCTGGAGGAGGTGTTAGAAAACTGTCTTAGGAACAGGTGCACTTGATTCATCCTTAGTATTCACATTAAAAAATCCTTTATAGGATTCCTACTCTGTGCAAAGCCTTGTGCTAGATGCCAAGGATATAAATGAATATAAGAAATATATAAAGGAGATATATATATATATGCACGTAGGTACAGATATAGATACAGCAAGATAGTATATGCCAAGTTCCAAATACGGATGCTGCAGACTGTAGGTACTACAGGAGTTAAGAGGAGGGACAGAGCTCCATGGACTGAAGTAGCAAGGGAATGCTTGATGGAAGAGGCCCTAGACCATGAACTTGAACTGGACCTTAGAAAGTAGAAAGTCCATTCTTTAAAAAAGAGGAAAGGAGAGGTAAAATCAGGTAAGGAAAATTACATGAGCAAAAATACAAAGAGGGAATGCACATGATATGTTCAAGGGAGACTGATTAATTAAGGAGACTTTGTATGAATCAGAAGTTTCATTTGTCCAGAAGTCATAGAACATGAGGTTGGAGATGTTTAACTCTACATTGTACTGGCCTGAAAGCCAGGCCAAGTTCAAACTTCATTCTGTAGACTGTAAGGAGCTACAGAAGGTTTTTAAGCAGGGAGTGTGGAGTGACATTTAGAATGCAGTGTTCTGGGACTGTGAAACAGTGTGTGGGACGGATCATGAAGGGGAGACTGGTTACAGGAAAACCAGCTGTGCACTATTGCCTTGCATTATTAGCAGTTTCATATGTATGTTTTATTTCAGTAATTATATTGTAAACTTCTAGAGGGCAGGCACTGTGTCCCGTATATATTTCCTGCTTTCCCTCTCTACTTCTGGCACTGCTTATAGAGGGTGTTCAAAAGTGCCGTACTAAATTAACATTAATATATCTATGCAGATTTGAGACAATTAATCAGTTTCCTATGATCTGGAGAGAAAAGCATTCTCATCCAAATGTTTATAAAAGAGTCCCTGTTATTATGGAGGGACTGCACTGACTAAAGTACAGCAGTGTTTGGAGGGAATTCAGTGGTCTAACATAGGAAAGTTTTTTTTTTAAGGAAAAAATTCTACGTTTGACAGGATAGATTAGTCAAGGAGTTTAGAGAAGAGGACTAAAATTTATTAAACAATGTACAATATACCATGCACTATGTACCTTATCTTACTGGGTAATTTCAAGAGTAGGAGAGAAAACAGTAGGAACAGAGGAATTAAGAAGACTTTAGCATTTTATAGATTAATGAGATTAGGATAGTAAACCTTCATATACAATTAATTCTTCAATTTAAGTCCCAGGAGATTTTTATAAAACAGAGCAATCTGAATGCTTCTAGGAGTGTATTCTTAGGGGGATATGGAAGGCTACTTAATATAAAGGTGAATGATTCAGGAAGAATTTAGAAATTGCTGCTAACACAGTAAAATTTACTGGGCCTGAATGTGAGGATTGTCAAGAGAGAGAAAATGAAGTATCTCTAATGTAGGTAATCGAACCTGGGGGTTCAAGAGGATTGTCTTCTCTCTGGTTGAGGATGAATATTGATAAAAGACACAGATATGACCCCAAGAAGGCAGGGTAGGAAAGGAACTCTTAGTAGAGATGATGAGGTCACAAATAAGGCAGTCTTAAGAGTTGGACATTTACCTATCAAATACCTGCCCAAAGAGACTTTGAGGAAAGTAGCTGGCAGGGATGACAGCATGATTGTGGTAAGTCCAGAGGAGCCAGAGAAGGCTTGTGCAGCCCATCTCTGTGCCCACATAGCATAAATCCATCAAGCTGCATCTCCTCCCACTGTGGTCAGTCAAAGCCAGGAGAAGCTGGTATTGGAGGTGGAAAACAGATGCACAAACAGGCCACAGGGAAGAAGAGAATATCATATCCACAGCTGCAGAAATGCAGTGTCCAGAGTTGAGCAAGTGCTAGTTATAGTACTGTGGTGGAGCGGGTGGGACTTTGCAGGCTCTGTGGTGGTGACCAGTAAGAGGGCTGTAAACAGTAATGTTCAGGTGTAACTAAAAAGCAGACCCCCGGGAGGGACTGTTTTCAGTGATATACTAGGGCAGGAAACAGTGAGGGCTTCTCAAGTGATGGACTAAGAAAGAAGAAAGACCGTGAGATTTGTTGGTCTCTGAGGACCTTCTGCTTATTTACTATTTGGGGACTGAAGCTGATCCTACCTTTTTTGAAGTCATCTTCTCATTGCCCATGACAATATTGGCAAGTAGGAATAGGTGATTTCAGGCTTCTGATCGTGTAAGTCCCCTATCCCCTTGCAGTGAAATGGAACCAATCAAATGTACTGAATTTAATGCTGCTTATCAATTTAAAGTAAATGGAATGGACTCAAGGACTGGGAGGCAGGAAAGCCTGCAGAAGCTTTGCTTAAATGTCAAAGCCAATCGGCATTTGAGCAGAGTAATGGCTGAGCTCCATTAGATCTGCCTTCTGGGAAGAAGAGGATTATGTGGCATGAAGCTCAGAGCCTGCCTAGAAGAATATATTAAGAATCCCATTGCTGTAGTCTGGCAGCATCTGTCAGATCCACTTTAGAAGCCATTGTGCAGGCTGCTCTGGCATGTCCTGGGCTTTCCTCAGGACTGTCTCTGTGTCTAAATTACCACCACAATCTCTCCTTTTCCCCCAGAAACATCCAGACAGACTCTGGTATTTTGCCCAGTTCATTAGTAGATTTAATGCAGAGCTTTTGGAATTAAAGTCTAAAATTGTTAGTCACAGAGGAACTGCTGATGGGTTGAAATCTGTTAGACCTCTTCCCTCCATCCTTCCTCATCTCACTTTCTTCTGAGTACAAATTTCTATAAACTGTTTCTAGAGAGGTTGAAAATACAGTCCTTTGCACACTTTCATTTGGTGTGTTTGTACCAAACAAACCACTAGGTAAAAGAAAGCTTTTTCTTAAGAGACTTTTATTTTCAGATTGTAGAGTATATACAAGCCTAAAAACTTTCAACTTTGGTTAAAAGCTTTTCAGCTTTTACAGAGAAGTAGGAAAACAAGCCTTTAAAGTCACTCCTCTTCTAAAAAGTGCAACTTGTTTTGTCTGCATTCATTCTGTCAGCATCCTCATGAGGTAAATGGTTCTGTGCCCAACACGTGATAGCACCTCGGGTTACAGAGACTGTCAGCTCGAAATGGAATCCTAAGCACCTTCCTCCCAATACTAGCGCCTTTGTTTCTGAAATTGACATCTGCTCACTTAAAGTATGTCTCAGCTGCTTTAATTAATTTTAGTCAGTGAGACATTGCATTTATTTAACTGCACCAAGGACTCAAGAAAGAGAATTGTAAAATCTTTGCCTTTTCAATAACTTCATCTCAGTTTTCTCATCTATTCTACAGACTTGCTTACATGGCCTTTTTCTTATCTGGTCTAAAAAACGTTAGCCAAATCAGACCAACAGTATCTGGATCTCATACCACAAAAAGGAGAGGTAGCACCTTGTTTTTTACTGTGGAGCTTAGATGACTCTTTCTCAACTATTAACAGACAAATAAATACCCATGTTAAATAAAATGGTTGCCCTACATTAATAACTAGCAACTAACCTAACTCCAGCAGTCTCGAGATAGAAGGAAACAATAATTCCACGTTATAAAAGCAGGCAATTATATAACACTTCTTAATCACTAGTATCTTTGGATCACATTATATGTAAGTTAATATGATATACTTTTAGCAAGTATCACTACCTTCTTATGAAAGGATAATTCTGGACAGTCAGATTTAGGGATTAGGTAAATAGTGACTATTAGAAGATCATTCACACAGCTTTTTCTATAAGGTCTATCAGAATCATTTCTTTATGGTTTTTATATATTTTGCTTTATGATGATACTTAAAAATAGGAATAGCCTTGAGGAACAAAATTTACCGTTGCCTTTTTCCCAAGTCAGGAGTAGAATAAAATATAAGAGCATAGCTTTTCTTTCCAAATTACCGAAAAGGAATGACAGAATTAATACATCCTAATTACTGTAGGTGAGACTGCCTCCAAAAGTCCTAGATAGCACAGTTATATTGAACAGACTCTTCTCTGTTCTGTGAAGGCCTAAATATTTAGACAACTTCAATAGACAGAAATAAACTTTGAACTCAAGTTGATGGAGACTAGACTGAATTACCATCTGATGTTGAAAAGTACATATCCTTTTAGATGTCCTTCTAATCCAGTGGTGATTCCCCATTAAGAAAAGGGGGGAAAGTGTAGATTCTTAGTATATTATAAACCTAGCTGGTTTCTCAATAGGTTTTTTTTTAGAGATGTCACTGATGAAAATTGTCTGCCCCTTGGTAATTATATGCTGGTACATAACTTGTTCATTAGTGTCATATCTGCCCCCTGCCACCAAGTCCAAAAATATGCATTTACTGAGAAGAATTCAGTAACTGTTCCAGTTGGCCATGGTCTTGTGGTTACAGTGGAGGCAACATGGAGAAATTAAATATTTTACTTCTGCAAAGAGGGAAGAGGAGGTGCTTTAACACGGAATTCAATTTTTGCTCTCCTTAGCAGTAATTTATATCCAGTGTGTCATCTTGAATATTATGGAAATGGGCTTAAAGCAGCTTATTTTTCCTTTACGTGAGGGCAGTGTAGCTAGAAGTACACTTGAACTCTAACCACCTCTGCTCCCACTCACGTTATCAGTCAGAGTAGCCATAATATTAGTTACTCTGACCCAGACATGGCAACGCATCACATGCAGTCAGAACCATAAAAACGATGGTTTCTTTTGTCAGTACTGTCCCTGAGAACATTACTTTGATATTTGAGTTGTATGTATCAGATTCTCATGGTAGGAAGGTAACACGATAGGATTAGAGATGTTCTTTTCACACAGATACAGGCATCTGTTTTTGGTAAAACTGCTCTAATGAACTGCTTAACCTTATGTTTACATCTCTGCTAGAAAAGCAATTTAAAAATTTGATTATTAGAGTTGGGCATACTGGGATTGAACACTTAGTTCCACCACTGACCTTAATTTTCTCTTAAATAAAAATATTGATAGTAATACCCACCACACAATTCTGCAGAGAATTAAGGTGAGGTAGCAACTGTAAAGCACTTAACATAGAGCCTGGAACTAGGAAGTGCCAAATAATCACTATTATTAGCGTTCAGCACTTAGCATATAGTAGATGTTCAGTGAATATTTGCTGAACAAACACCTAAATGAATTGCACGAAGCCTACTTAATGTCAAGTCCTTCATTGCCCAAGGACTTGTACAGGTCAACTGACAGGTTCATTCCTCCTCCATCATGGTATCAGCCTTGGAACCTGAGCCTGTTGACTTTCCTTTCTCTCTCCAGTAAGAAAGCGCCTGGTCTATTGTTAGGCATTTCACTGGGGCATTTTATTATTCTCTCTCTTGGTGGCTGGAGAATGGGGACTGTAGTTTCCACTCTGAGATAATGGAAACCTTGAGAAACTCAATTCTCTTTTCTCCTTATGCCTGGCCTCTTGGAAATAAAAGAACATGTAAATGTTAACCCTTCAATAACCACACAGATGCCAGGCAGAGTTCCTCAGAGTAAATGCATAATTAAGGATGGGTCCAGGGCTTTTGGATACTCCATCAAAAAAGAAAAGAAAGGACCACAGTAGACCAAGAAGACTAGATGAAATATTATTTGTTGCAGATTGGTTGGCGTGTTTCAGGAAGTTTGTTCCTCAACAGAAATGAGTTCACATATTATCTGTTTTCCTTTTAAACTATCAGCCAATTTTTGATTTGCTTGTGGCTCATTCTGATAGGTGTGAGAAAGAGAGTCAAGGAAGAACTTCCAGAGTATGTCCTGGAAGGAGAATGGATGAAGGATGGGATTAGAGATTCTGTTTTTAGATGGATTATTTGAAGCACCTGTTTGTAGTCAGAGGTAGACAGAGTTTACGCAGTATTGCTAGTACACTGCGATTCAGAGATTGTGCCCAGATTTGTTGCCCTGTCTTCATTCCATCACTTTGCCTCTTCTTGCTTCTATCTCCCTGATGCTGATGGAAGGCTATAAATCGAATTTAGATTTTGAAGTTAAATTTGTAAAGTAGCAATTGATCACCTTTTGAAAGGAAAGATTAGGAGGATTTAAGGAAAGCAAATGATCCTTTCTAGAGCATCTGGCTTATTGCCCAAGAAAAGTAGCTGTGCCCAGAAACCGCTGGAGGCAACAAGCTGACTTGGAGATGAATGACCGCACCACAGAGTACCTACCTGTCTCCTACCTTTGAATGGTCTGACTTTCCAACCAACTTGCCTGGGGATGAGCTGCCCAGCTGGTGGCCTGACTATTTTTCCTTGTGACCACCAGGGGATCAAGTATTTGCTGGGCTAGAAGAGCAAGCCCGCCAGGCGATGATGAAAACTGATTTTCCTGGAGACCTGGGCAGTCAGCGACAAGCTATCCAACAACTAAGAGATCAGGACTCCAGTAGCAGTGAGTTCTGCACCTTCTGGTAATGACTCAGGGCAATGGGAGAAGAATTATCAGAGTGTGTGTGCTCTGGGGATTGTGCATGGGGGGTTGGGAGGAAGACATGAAGAAGGAGATTTGTGGATCCTCAGTGTTCCCAAGGTGTTCTAAGGTGTATGCACATATTCCTGTCCAGAGAGAGAACAGATTTGGCATTGTGTTTTTTTTTTTTAACCCATGGACTGTAGTACTTGGCACACTGCCATACATGGATATGTTTGTGATGACTGTGATAGATGGGGCATAGGAATAACTAGTGCTCAAGCAGCCCGTGGGTTAGGTCAAATGGAAAGGGAAAAATATATCCCTGTCTCCTAGTATCTATTTATTCATAATTAATAAAATACAAGAGTGGCATTAATGAAAGTTCTGCTTGAGGGCCCAGTTTTATTGTTATACAAGAGGATTTGCTTACTAGTGAGATTATGCAGCATATAAAATGTTAACGTCAAGGTCTTCCCACACCAAGTCCTAAATAGATACCTTGGTTGAGAGATAGAAAAAATAGTGAGGCTCATGGATCTGTTCCATGACTTGCCTGAACAAATACACTTCGAGATGTGTTATTTCCTAGGATGATTTCCACACACTTACTAATTTCATCCATCTGATATTGGTTATTATTAGTGTCAATTCAGATTGACCTTCCTGATTTTTCTCCATGTTTGGGGTTGAAAAAGAAGAGGGAGAGAGTTCTGCACCCTTCTAGAAACTACATTTTCTACTCAAACTAATACTTTAGCAACCAAAAATAATAAAAATTTAGCAAGTAATTGCTCAGGTACAGAACAGTGAACCCAAATACTTCTAGACAACCTGTGGGAGCTACCAATTTGAGTAATAGGTAGGAATGGCAAAATCTATAAAAGTTGAATAGGTTTCCATCTTGGAGAAGTTGCATCATCCCTCTAGATGGCGTACTTATTTTTTTTAATCTTTCTCATAGTGAGATATATTTGGATTTTTGATAAATTACAAAAAATATTTGATACAGTATTGTCTTAGACTACAAGTGTTCCAGATATGCTGGTGAGAAAATATGATATGATTTAATCTGTGCCAATCCTTTATTACTGAGATGGATTCAAACTAAAGCTTTGGACAGGGGAATAAGGTGTACATACTATAGATCCTTCCAGGGCCCAAATCCAGTCCACCAGCCAGCTGGAGTATCTAACAGAGACACGTGTAACTACCAGCAGATGATTTGGTTAGATTTTCTTATGAAGAAAGGGAATGTAACCAGTTTTGTCCAGTTCCTGGTAGATATAGAAATTATTCAAGGGTAAGTAGAGAGAAGATTAGTAGTACTATTAGCTAGGGAAGCTAGGCCTCACTGCTGATGCAGAGAGCTGGTAAAACTCTATCCTGTATTTATTTCTCTTGCTGACACTCAGGCCCAGGAGTCCTGGATCTAGGTGGTGCTGGGATGGGACTGGAGTCTGACAGCTTCCCTAGGCTTGGCTTCCTCTTGTGATCTTCCAAGTACTATCACTTTTTTTTCCTTTCAGAAAGAACTCCCTATATTATTGTGTTTTTTTAATCATTTTTTTCCTATTTTATAAGTAATACGGGGAAAAAAATCAGCTCACACAAACCTTGCAGACCCCTCAGCCACAGGCAGACCTCCTCACAGCTACATCCTACCCCCTAAACTAAAACAAACTGAATTCTTACTTTAGTCACAAGAAATTATATTTCATCTTAAAGAATGGCCTGTTCCCTCCACTTAATGCATTCAGTTATCCATCAGATAATCCAAAGAACCAACAGAAACAATGGACTTATTTAGCCTAGAATGCTGAGTTACTAGCAGAGTAAGAACACACTGAGTCAAATACCATTACAAAATGCCCAAGGTTGGTTGCTGTACTAACTTTTCCACTGCACTGAATAGCTTTTTCCCTATAAAGTGATATTTTTACGTAATTTCCTACTGCCTCCTTTATCAATAAGAGGAAAAGAAAAACCTGGTGTTTCTGTAAGCGTGCCTAGGGGTTTGTTGGGAGAGAACAGATTAGTGTGTCTCAGAATAGAATAGTGTATGTGACAACATGGAGGAATTGTGCAGGGAGGTTATGGAGAAAAGTAAGTAATAAAGTCAGTGAGAAGCGTTGGTAAGTCAGAAGTGGTGTGTTGTGGGAATGAGTGTGGTATGAGGTGCGTGGGAGGTGTGATTTGAAGTGTGAGATATTTGGGAACCATGTGTAAGATGTTATTATTTTTATGATAATATATAGGGCCTAATAACCATTTTCCAATGCAGTTTTGCCTCAGATTTTCTCTTTAGTGTGTATATGGCATTACAAACAACAGTTGTGGCTTGCTTCTACTTAGCATGATTTGTACCCAAATAAGTACTGGTACAAACTATATTACGGAAGATCTGAAAACGTTTTCCATTATAGCTGCACACCCTAGTGTACTGGGTTTTGTCAGAATTCATGCAAAAATCAGAACAAGTGACCAGTTTATGTGTTCCAGGTGACAGTGAGGGTGATGAAGAGGAGACCACACAAGATGAAGTCTCTTCCCACACATCCGAGGAAGATGGAGGGGTGGTCAAAGTGGAAAAAGAGTTAGAAAATGCAGAACAGCCTGTTGGTGGGAACAGAGTGGTAGAGCCTGAGGCAAGTGACAAACGGCTCCTGAGTCTGGGAACCCCTTTACCCTTCTGCTCTGCTCTGATGCGGTGTCCGCATGTGACACTCTTGCCTCTGAGGGGCTCCTGGGCCTTCATGCGAAGCTTTCTCTTTCTTCCCAACCAGTTACCCAAACCTCACATACACAATTCTTATCACACCCAGCTTTCCTTCTCTGCCCACATCACTACACCCACACGCAGCTCTCCTTCCTAAAGCTCCCCACTTCTTTCCAGCAGAGAATCCACCTTTGCAGAACTATTAGCTGACTTCTTGTGGTGTACTCTTGAATATGCTTGCAAATTTAAGTCAGAGTGTTACCTGAGGTGCCATCTTTTCACTAAGTTGTTTCCTGAGGATTCCGGCAAGAGGCATGGAGGGAGGGAAGCCAGTCTTCTCTCTACAGAGTTTACCTTAGGGGAAAAAAATCAATACACTCTCTCTAGATACTTCCTTCTCATGGCAGGAAGCCTTGGAGAAAATGAAGATGGGAGCAAATTTAATTCCCTCTCCCCTATTTTTCCCTCAGTCCACAATGGGAACTTAAGAATAACATGTGATAAGAGGTGGTTTTCCTTTTAACAGGATACCCTTTTAAAAGAAGCTGGGGCAGGAGAGACTGGTAAAGAGTCTTAATGAATTGCATACTTATTAAATTGCAGGTCACGGAGAATTTGAATTCTGACCCCTTGCTTGGACTCTGCCAGTGTCCCCTCTGCCAGCTTGACTGTGGGAGTCGGGAGCAGCTGATTGCTCATGTGTACCAGGTATGGCGTGGGGAGCTGTGCTGTGGAACACAGGCACCAGCAACTTGGTTAGCCTTTGCCTCCACCTCCTGAGAGAACCTTGAGTTGTTGTTTCAACTAAGGCTCCACTCCAATCTTCAGAACATGTTAGAGAATAAATGGGATATGTTGGGTGAATATGTTTTGGGTTCCCAGGCAGACACACTGTGAAAATTAAGTATCATTTTTTTTCTAAATTATTTAATGCATATTTTAAATAGGAAAATAGAAACTAGCATATGTTTAATAATGAGGGTTTTGTTTTAAAGAAGAAAAAATGAGTTAACATAAATGTTCCTGAAATACTAGAGAAAGTTAGTGTAAACCAGGGGGTCAGAACAAAACAAACTCGTGTTTTCTTTTTTTGTCTGATCCAGTCACAGAGCCCTTGTGCCTTATGGTCTATCTGTCTTGGAACTGGCATCAACATATATAGCAACCTGGTTTTACCATAAAGAAAATTGGTTCATGAGGAGAAGCATTTCTTTAGGAGACTGATTTTAAAACATTGAAGGAAAGGCAGTACACTTAAATACCTTCCGGATTCTAGTCTTCCCAGCCAGCTTCTAGATTTGGCCTTCGACACTCCCTTAAAACTCACTTGTACCTATGCAGTGTGATGCAAGCAGACCATGAGAAATTATCCTGAGCACGATTTCTTCTCCGGCTCTGAAGAGGGCTCTGGAGTCCCATTGTTTGTCAAGCCAGCCACATGTCCCAGAAGGTAGTCATAACTCTAACTAATGAAATCTGAGCAGTGGTCTGGACAGCCTAGCCCTTCTGAAGGCCCTTTAACACAAGAGACTCTTACTTTTCCAGGTGCTGAATAGAGAGGATAGTTGCAAGTCCCTTCTTCTGAGACTAAGGAAAGGGGACATTTCTCAGAAAGTAGTTGCTGAGTGGGTATAGATTGTCCTGGAGATGACATGAGTTCACAGACCAAGGCTCTCTTTTACAGCACACTGCTGCAGTGGTGAGCGCCAAGAGCTACATGTGTCCTGTCTGTGGCCGGGCCCTTAGCTCCCCAGGGTCACTGGGTCGCCACCTCTTAATCCACTCGGAGGACCAGCGGTCTAACTGTGCTGTGTGTGGAGCCCGTTTCACCAGCCATGCCACGTTTAACAGGTTAGCCAGGCACCTAACCCTCTGTGCTGGGAACAGAATTACTGGGTATGAGTTTTGCTTTTCCAAGTCAAAGTGAAGGCTAGCAGTAGGTAATGCAAAGGCAACTGACTCTTGGCTCTTTGGAAATACAAGTAATGAGGCTAATAAATATGCCTGTTCCAAGAGATATCCCCAAAGGGAAATGAATTCCCATTCCTTTCCTCTATCACAGTATATTCATCTGGAAAGAGATGTGGGGAAGTCGAAGAACATTCACAATAAAGCATGGAGTAAGAAGTTACAGGGTGCTGAGAGGACACTCTTGTGAGGATATAGTCTCCATTGTGTCCCATGAAGACTGAAACTGTGTGAATTGTGTTCGAGTCCCATTTGCTAGTGTACAACACAGGGTCCACCAGGGGGAGGTTGACCAGTGGACTGGACCTCTCTTGAAAGCAGCCTCCACCTCAAGGAGGACTGCCCTGCACAACTCCTACAAACACCATCCATACGGCTTGAATGGAACTGCCCGTTGTAAGGGCTCATCTGATTTCCCATGGCTTGCTGCAGTGGTTGGCTCGGTCTCTAACTCTAGGTGAGCATTAAGACTTGATAGACACTGAAGCCCAAAGAAGAGCAAGGACAGAAAGGTAGAGGAGGTCTCCCAGGCACTCAAACTGACCCCGAGTGGTGAACTAGGAGCAACTGGCCTGGTAGGACCTGAGCCTTGTGAGATGGTGACACTAACCATGCAAAATTTTTGCTTTCCAGTGAGAAACTTCCTGAAGTACTTAATATGGAATCCCTACCCCCAGCCCACAGTGAGGGCCCCTCCAGTGCTGAGGGGAAGGACATTGCCTTTAGTCCTCCAGTGTACCCTGCTGGAATTCTGCTTGTGTGCAACAACTGTGCTGCCTATCGGAAGCTGCTAGAAGCCCAGACCCCCAGTGTACGTAAGTGGGCCCTGCGTCGACAGAACGAGCCTTTGGAAGTCCGGCTGCAGCGGCTGGAACGAGAGCGCACGGCCAAGAAGAGCCGGCGGGACAATGAGACCCCAGAGGAGCGGGAGGTAAGGCGCATGAGGGACCGGGAAGCCAAGCGCCTACAGCGCATGCAGGAGACAGACGAGCAGCGGGCACGCCGGCTGCAGCGAGATCGGGAGGCCATGAGGCTGAAGCGGGCCAATGAAACCCCGGAGAAGCGGCAGGCCCGGCTCATCCGGGAGCGGGAGGCCAAGCGACTCAAGAGGAGGCTGGAGAAAATGGACATGATGTTGCGAGCTCAGTTTGGCCAGGACCCTTCTGCCATGGCAGCCTTAGCAGCCGAAATGAACTTCTTCCAGCTCCCTGTGAGCGGGGTGGAGTTGGACAGCCAGCTCCTGGGCAAGATGGCCTTTGAAGAGCAGAACAGCAGCTCTCTGCACTGAACTACACTCTCCTGCCTGCCTTCCTACTCACCCACCCACCTGCGCTCACATGGATCAGTGCTGCAGCTACCCCAGGGCCCTGTCGTTGCTGCTGGAGGCAGGCCTGGGTTGTGGACCTGTGTACCCCTTGCATGTGGGAGCAGGATGATGGGATCAGAAGGGATCCGGCTCAAGGCAGCTCTGGACAAGGGAGCAGGCACTCCAGAGGACTGGACTCCCTGACCACTGCTGCAGGGCATGCACCTAAGACTTTTGGGCTCTTGTGTGGCCCATGGAGTTGTGAGGGCAAATAAATTAATCTTATCTTTACTGTCCCTTTCCTGCTTTCCTCTTGATTTCATTCTAGCAAACAAAGTGAATTGGGAGAGACCTGAGTGGAAGTTTTCAGGTGGGGACTTCTGGTGGATTGTTCTTTTCTGAGGGCGGGTGCTCCTCAGTGTAGGCTCACCAAGCAGAGATCCCGCATTTGGGCCTTCACATTTGATGAAGCACAACTGTGATATTAAAAAAGAACCAAGTGGGGGATATAGCTCAGTGATAAGAGTGCATGCTTGGCATGCATGAGGTCCTGGGTTCAGTGCCGTGCCTTCATTAAGGGAATAAAAATTTAAAAATACACTTTACCCTTAAAAAAAAAAAAAAGGACCAATGCTGACTTTACGAGGGTCCATTCCTACAACCCTACTGAAGATCACCTACTGTCCCAGAGCCAGTTCAACCTAATTTACCTTCTCCAAACTGAGAAGCAGATGTCTTTGCTCATCTCTGGTGTTTGCTAAAGAAGATGCAGTATTTGGACTAAGTGCTGGCTACTTTTCCCAACAGAATTCAGTTTGCCAAACTTAAAATTCTACCCCAGACAGCAGTCAGGTGCATTTAGGAATATGGTCACAGAAACAGCTGCAATATTAAAGTCCATAGTACCAAGGAACTTATGTAGGAGAGAAGAGGTAAACTGTCTTTTTATTTATTCCCCAGAGCCAAGGTAGGATAATAAAACCCACTGAGGAAAATACAGAACTAAGGTGATAGGAGAGCCCAAGTCAACACTGGTCAAGGCCAGAGCAAAATGACAACTCTGTCAGTTTGTATGGCTGCCAAACCATGGAGCAGACAAGAGCTGAAGTCATTTCTAAAAAGCCTCTGTGATGGTACAGAACAAGCAGAGAACTTTCCTTAGCCTGCACCAAAGGTTGCGTACAGTTTAGATAATTATAGATCTTGAGGTCCAGAAGGAAGTGCCCTAGTTAAGTTGTAGCTAGAAAAATAACTATGCCAGGAATGTGGACCTCTTCCAATATCATAACAAGGAAACTTGGACTTCTCTCTGACCTCCATAGGTCCAAGGCTATTTAAGAATGTTAACTGACTCTCCACCAAACGAGGGTTAATTCCTATCAGGCACACTGAAATATTTTAATAAATATTTTAATAAGCTTATTACAAAGCACTGGACATTTGAATAAAAAATTGTTTAATACCAAATGGCTTTCTCTCACAGAGCCCCATACTGAAGTCCTACTTGGGGTGCTTCAAAATCACTGAGTACAATGTGTCAAAAGTTGTTCTGAGCACTTCAGTGGATTATCTCATTTAATTTCCACAACAAACTATGATTTAACAAATTCAGGAATTAGTTGCCTGGATTTAACATTCTGTACTCCCAATTAATAGCTGTGAAACTCTCGGCAAGTTACCTAAACCTCTTGGTTTCCCCACCAATAAAATGGAAATAATAGTAAGGACAAATGATTGCTCATAATGCACTTAGGATAGTTTGTGGCACATAACAAGTGCTCATTAAATGGGTCACTATCACGTATCTGAGTGTTTCACCTCTTACTAGTGGTAAGCTTTCTAAATTAGAAGCAGTAGGTACGATTGGAGCTGACTTATTCCAGAAATTTCTGGCGGTATTCCTGAGAAAAGAATTTGAGAAAACCTAGCAGCAAGGACATCTACGTGTTCTTGTGACTAAATGTGGTAGTATAGTATCTAAGTCTACGGGATGACTCCTGGGCCTCTGAAATACACACAAACAATGTGCAGACCGTGCTTCAGGACTAGCTCGCGCAATCTGCCCCCAGCCCACCTCACGAAGACGGGCACCATCTGCTCTCTGTTACAAGCTCTGCCACACAGGGCTTCTATCCCCCACCCAATGGCCACCATCTGAGGCTGGGATAGGAAGAAGGCGCAAACACCAAAAGGAAAAGCTAGTAGTTTATATAGATAGATATATAGATATATAGATAATGATATATACTGTGTTTACATAGTCCACAAGTTAAATGCAGGTATCCATAAGAAGAGCATTAACAATAAAAAATACAATCTGTATGTGTAGCCAAGTACAGAGACTTAAAATGGTAAAACAGCAAAAAGGATCTCACAAAAGTACAAATATACAGTACAAATTGATTTATTTAAAACAGTTACAAAAAAGCACAACAAAATAGAGATTATCCTTAGAATTATTAATGCTTTGTTAAAGATCAGGTAGGATTAGAGGGTAAGAAATGGTACTGGGTGGGGGGAGCACCTGACTAGTTCTAAGGCTTTAGATACAATGCAGTTGATTACATATTAATTTAGCCATTACATACTGGGGATAGTAGTTGGGGGATCAATAATTTTATCTACAGGGAACTCCTACACAAATCAGATCCATCCATCAGACCTCCCCAGTGCCGTCCTTCTCTACTCCTCAGGACCCTAAAGCCACCTGGATGACAACATTCCCAACCTCCTTTCTCCACCCCATTCCCTATCCATAGATTCTTCCCTCCCCTAAGGTGCTGTGCAAGCTGAGAGCAGTCTGCTCTCTGCAGCTGGAACATATACTGTTTTGGCTACAGGGATCCTGTGTGTGACTAGGAAGGTTGTAGGGGACAGCTTTATTTTTAATACTTCAAGTTTGCCACGAGTACAGCCTCTTCCCCAACACAAGCTTCTCTTGAATGTGACTGTCAAGCAAATGAGGGATGAACCCTGCCTTCAGCAACACCAGCGATACACTAACCACTCACATCTCACAACTACGTGCAAACTCCCTGTCCGGGGAGTGGGTGTAAAACCACTGTCATCAGCTCGCTCGCGCCCATTCTCTCTCTCTCTCTCTCAAGAACCTCAGTCCCCATGACAGTCATAAAGACAGAAATAAATGCTTGCAAGTTTGACAACAGGTAAAGGCACATGGGCTGCTGCCACACACACTGCAGACAGGAACCCAATTTGAGACCATCTTCACTGCTGGGCATTTGCAGTTGAATGGCTTGGGGATCACACAGACTTGAGTTTGCAACCTACCAGGGAAGGATCTAGACTTAACAGGAGAACTAATAAAGAAATCTTAGTGTGAAAAGTGCATTTATTACTACTGTTCCTGCTGGGGAGGCTCAGCAGGGCAAACCACACCACCTCTCCTCCTTCCGCCCCAGGCACTGTGCATAGTCTGCAGGTAAGGAGAGAGTGCAGTCGACTCTAGCATCTCAAGGGCCAGAGTCATCCTAAGCCCAAATCAGGCTTCTGGCCCAAAGATGGATCCTAGAGTTGAAAGAGCACTGACAGCTGCAAAGACCCAGATGCTTATTTTATTATTGCATAATGTGGGAGGCCTTCCCTATCCCAGGAAGCTGGAGGGTGAAGGCTTCCCAGCTAAGGGCTAATAGGTTCCTGGTCAACATCCAACCTAGCATGGTTTAGCTCTTCGACTGTAGTGTACACTTTTTCCCATCTGGAAAGTATTGTAGCTTCAGTGTGATTTAGTAAACTTAGCCCTAGGAGGCCATGAAGTCTCCCTAAAACTTGGCCTCTGCCCTATTTACTTTGTTTTTAAGACTGTGACCTAATCTCCCATGGCCAATTCAATCAATCAGGTTATCTTTACTCCGATGGACCCAGGCCCTTTCCCAGTCAACCCATGTTCACCCTTTATCTCCAGTGTGATCACTCAACTCTTCAACATGCCTGCTTGTTACAGGTTTAAATCATACCACCACCCTGTGCATCTTCTATGATGCCCAGGGGTGAAAATAAAGTTAAACCCTACTTGAGGGGCTATTTCAAACTTCAAACCCTCTCCCAACCCCAGAATCCATATAACTGGAGCCATATGAACTTCCCTGGGATGCTGACACAGGCCCTAACCTGGTTCCCCATCATTCAGTTTTTAAATCAGGATACAAAATATCACAAAGGAAAGAAGTTAACGCACAGAAAACACCCACTAATAGGACCTGCTTGTCTCTCTCTCAAGAGAGTCAGATATTTGGAGCCAAAGGGCTCCCAACAAGCACTGAAGCCATATCCCTTTGGATTCACCAGCCCACCAGCAGCATTTCATACTATCCCTACTCAACACTACTTAGCTATAATGTAACACTTGCACATGTAAGAATGGACAGAAAGCCTGGATTTCATCTATATGGCCAAAGACATAGAAAGACAGGGAGCTACAAAGGGCAGCAGGCAAGACAGAGAGCAGACAGCAGCCGTGGCAAAGCAGCACAGACCAAAGCCCTTGGCGTTCCGACCACCTGGGACCAAGAGTGTAGAAGGGTCAGTACAGATCCACTGAGGCCCCTCCCCTTGGGTACAAGTGCCCAGCTCTGAACTCCCAGTTTCCCCTTCCCCACCGCCACACCACCCCCGCCTCCTTTGTGCACACTAGTCTTGATAGGAATGGTAATCCAAGATTCGGATGTATTACCTGTCCTTCACACGGTTCCCCTACTCCCAAATTGGTACAGTCATTTCTGTTTAGTGCGAGACTCAGCAGTCTTCCTTTCTATCCCTAAACTTGGGACTGTCCTACCACTGGAATTGGCCTTCTTCAATTGTCCATTCCCTAAATGCTTCTCACCAAATGCTTACCCTCTCAAAACCGCTCTTAGGTCTCTTATAATAAAACTTATGAAATCTTTGTAAGGAAGAATGGACACATACTCTCATTCCTTATGCCTGGAAGAAAAGACTGAACCAGAGGGAAAAGGTAAGGGAAATGCCATAGCTCTGACCAAGATTTCAAGCACAGAGCTTCTTTCCCTAGGAGACCATACTTTACCAGACACCCCTGCAGCTCAGCAAAATCAAGTATTAACATAATACATATGCATGGCACAGTATTAGGGGAGCTTCTGGAATTGCTTCACCAGCAAGAGACAGAAGAGGAACAGCAGCAGTAAGTTCAGGGCCCAATTTGCCAAGGTGCACAAGATTTTCTCTTTCCAGGATTAAGTGGGACTTATCAGGCTGGGAAGTGGAGGGTTATTTGATTTAAACTACTTGGCCTGTATCTGGTTAGATATAGGTTTGCTCCCATAAGGAGGAAGCTCAGTTAGTATCCTTGGTGGGTATTTCTTGAGTGCCTACTGTGTGCCTGTCACCAAATTTAGTTGATGAGCCTTCCTAACGAGGAAGGATGTTTCTGAGAAACCCGTGTAGGAGAAACTAGGAATGAGTTGTTTACAGAAAAGCCAGAAATGAGGCTTTCTCCCAGGGCCATCATCTGAGAGGATTCCTCAAGACTCAGCCCCACAGGCCCCCACTGTAGGAAATAAGCCAGAGAAAGCAGCATTCAGAGAGAATGGGGACAGAGAAGGGAGAGGACATAATCCCAAATGCATACACGGCTGAGTGTTCACCAGACAGGGCTGCTGTTTGGTTCTGAGGTGAACCAGAGACTTAAGTACTGGTGGTCAGGTCAGCAGCTTCCTTTGGACAGGCCTTTCAACGCTGACAGGTAGCTGTTCTCAAGGAATGGAACAGTGGAGTGCAGGGCTTGTAGCAAACAAGCCAGTCTCAGTCATTTTGTTCCCCCAGGAGAACAACCTTTAGCACCTGAACACTAAGAATGACTCCATTCTCAGAACTCCCCCTCCCCCCAGGAGGTAGGTAAGATTATTTATCCCCATTTGGCAGCTGGGGAGGAAGTGAAAGAGCGAGAGGTCACAAGACTTGCAGAGTCTTTGACAGAGAAGAGATCAGATCTCAGAGGTTTGGGACTCGTGATGACAGGCCTTGGCCAGTCCATCTCGAAAGGAAATGCCAGGGTTATACCCTGGGAGAAGCCTCACCAGAGAGCTGAGTGGACAATACCCTGAGTTGCTTCAAGAGTCTAAAGACCCCCGAAAAACAAACAAAAAACCCACCCACCCACCTGAAAGCTGATGGGGGAGCCTCATTCTCAATACCCAGTGGAATCCCACAGTCCCAGCTGATGCTAAAAGCTGTGAAGGAGAAGTGGGCTTAAGACACAGGGGGGCAAATGCAACTAAGATTGAAAATACTCTACAGAGAAATACTCCACCATGCAATGAAATCTAGACTTTTCAGGTATTGAAACATTATCAAGACTATCCCAGAACCTCAGAGCTGGCTGTGGGAGGGGACAGCTTAGAGAAGCCGGAATGCTGGGAAAGGGACTGTGTAAAAATGAAGGATGGGCAATGCCCATTCAGCTGGACTTGCCCTGACTCAGGGTATAGCTCCCTTCTTGCTCCACCAAGCAGTTCAGCTGCAGAAGAAGAGGGGACATGATTCTGAGTTTTTAAAAATAGAGAATATAACTGAAAGGGAGACCAGAGAGCCCCCTACACACCAAAAACTATAGGTCTTGGTCAGAGTGGACAAAACTAGTTTTGCAGAAGGGGAGAGGCAGCACAGCTACAAATTAGGCCCAGGTCAAGACACCATGCAGAGAGGTTAGGGCAGCAGAAGGGTGGGGGCAGCGCAGGCACTTAGGCACAACATAGACAAGACAGAGGAGGGGCTGTAGGGACCTGGGGAAAAGGGTCCACTGGTTCTTTCAAAAGTCACCATTACCAACTAGAGATTCACATAATTTCAACATGGGTCTGGCATGCTGAGTAGGAGGAGCTGTTAGGTCAGCTACCTTTGCAGAAGCCCTGCCTAGAGCCCGGTCAGCCTGGCCATTGGATTTTTCTTCCATAGTTCCCCAACTGGGCCCCTGCCAAGGCAATACTTCACTCTGAACCCTGGAGGGGCTGCTCTATTCTGGTGCTAGAAGCCTTGTGGGAGGAACGGTAGGGAGAGACAGGAAAGGGCTGAAGCAGAGGATGAAGCAGAGTCCCCCACAAACCCAGCCACAAACATCTGTAACAAAATCACCCTTTAAAGTGCACAGCTCTCAAAAGAAGAGTTCTGGGTGAGAACCCTCTTATTTCCAACCATGGGGCCTCCTGCCCTCCCATCACAAAAAGGAAAGAAAAAACTTCAGACAGTTGAACTGCTACTATAAGCTGTGGATCATCATTTTTGGCTCTTTCTTTGCTCCCTCCCTCTGCCACCTGCTCCCAAAGCCTGACTCTCCCCTTGCAGGAGCTGGGGATGGGGAGGAAAGAACAGGGAGGCCCAGATATTTGGAATGTTTCTTATCCTGCATGCAACCTCTTCCTTCCTTGGCCCAGGCCTGCTGCTGCCCGTCACAGCATCCTTTGGGGCTGTCCTGAAAGGATGCCATGGGGTAATAGGCAACAGACCCTGCCTTGGGAGGCTACCTTCGTGCCTCCTCTTCCCCCCAGCCTCACTGCCAAGAGAGCCATTCCCTGCTCGGCATGTGCAAATCCTCTGCCTGGTCACGGTGAGGCCCAGCTCTGGGGTAATCCCCAGTCTGGGTCTGGGAGAGGTTCATTTTCCCGCATTGGAACGCCCTTCGATGGACAGCTTTACCTCCTGTGAAATGAAAGAGGGACGGAGCAGCGCAGCCCGTGCCTCCTCCCCTTGCATGCTGTATCTTTGGAAGCTCGGGGCTGGCCAGCAGGCCTGAGCACCAGGCTCCGGCTGTGAGGGCTCTACCATTCGGGAGCCCTCTCCTGACGGTTGGCTTTTCCCATCACTGTCACATTGCTCTCGGGGTCCCAAGACTGTCCTCTCAGGCCTTTCTTGGGGAGGACCCAGCTGGCCTGGGGGAGCACAGCTGGCCTGAGAAACTGAGTTACTGTTCAAGCTCTGTAAACTGATAGAGATGCAGACATCTCCCACCTGTAGCCGATGGCAGGGCAGAGAGAAGAGCTGTGCAGTCCGTCCAGGGCTGCAGGAGGACCAACCCTGGCCATATACAAAGAAGGGGTGCTCGGGGGGCACCTCGATGCTCACTTTGCTCTGCTGCTCACCAACCACAAAATGCAGCATGACAAATCCAGGCCACTGGCTCTCCTGAATGTCCACGACTGTGCTAGAGTCAATCTTCAGCCCCCCGCTCACTTCGGCACTGCGCACAAAATCCTGGGTCTGGAGGTCCTCCACCCGCTTCAGCTCCCCTGTAGCCAGCTGGATGATGGCGCCTTTCATGAAATGGGAGGGCAAGTGGGAGGAGGTAATGGGGGGTGGCGTTGACTCCTTGTCTGGGAAGGTGGCTCTGGCCTGCATGTCCAAACTTGATGCCACCAGGATCTCCGAGCCCATGGGCAGCAGGCCTGGGTCAGTTCCAGTGGGCACCAGGTTGCCATTGGCTACAACCATTGCTTTGGGTAAAGGTCTATGTTTCACGGGTTCCTGATGGGACTGAGGGTAAAACCCTCGGGCCTGATTTTTCTCAGCCATCTCTGCTGGGTTCCTGGCTGACCCTCGCCCTTCACCCTGATGGTCGGGGTTATGATGGGACAGGTTGAGGGGGCTGGACTCATCCTTTCTCTGAGCTGCCACCACATGATAGTCCTGAGAAGCTAAAGCGCCAACCACCCGCTGGACCTCGAGGTCGGTGTCTGGGGTCCCTCGATGTGCTGGCACTGCCACCTCCACCCGCGCAGACTGAGAACCTGAAAATAACTGTCCATCCACCACACATTCTACCACTGGCACCAGTCCCTGGCCTTCACCCTTGCTGTTGGAGGAGTCAAGGGCTTCACTTTCCCGTCTTACTAAATTTCGCTCTCGCTGTCTCTGTCCATTGGCAGAAGCTGCCTCCAGAGCAGACTGGCCCTCCTGAGGAGTAAGAACTGGGCTGGCACCTGCTGTTGGGGTTTCATGCAAGGTGTACCCAGCAGGAAGCCTGGACATCTGATAATATATGGGCATCCGGCCTGGAGCAAGGTCCAGTGGCTGAGTACTCGAGTGATGCGGCAACTGCCCAGGTGGGGAAGTGGCAGAGGGGGCTTTGTTGAATGAATGCGCCGGGGAGGAAGCCTGGGGGGGAGGAGTGGCTCCTTCTGCCAGGAGCGAGGCATATGGCACAAAGTGTGGAAGGTGAGAGGTGGCGAGGTTGGCAGAAGGAGAAAGGAGGGGACTCGGTAGGAAATTAGGTGGCATAGCATAGGGAAGGCTATAAGGAGACCCAATAAACTGCAGAGAAGTGGACGGGAGCTGAGCATAGTGGATTGGGGGATAGTGGATTCCTGGATGTTGAATCAGTGAAGACGCTACATTAAATGTGGGGGCCAAGGGGCTCATGTTCACCACAGATGGGAGGCCAGTTGGGGAGAAGGTGGCAGGTGGCACAGCCACCTTATACAACATGCCATACTGGTCCACTGTCAGACCAGTGATGGCCTCAGCTCCATCACCCCCCAGGCTGACTCTGGCTCCTGACTGGCTCTGCCCGGCCACCACAACCCCACGGGACCATTCAGAGGCATCACTGGAGGGTGTGTGGTTAGTTGAGCAGCTGGTAGTTCTCCCCATATCCTCGCTGGTCACGGGGAGGTCTCGTTTCTTTGGTGGAAGGCATTCCTGACTCCTCTCATGAACAGGTTTCATATTGCTTTGTGGTGTTCCTGGAGCCTCCTGGAAGGGGTTGGCTTGCTCCTTGGGGCATCAGAAGGGGCTTCTTTGTGGCTCCCCTGCACCCCTCTCTGCTGCTGGCTGGGGCGCCCACATCTGCTAGGGAACAAATCAGAGGCAAAGAAAAGTAACCTAGGGATAAACCAAGTCAAAGGAAAGAGTAAGAAACTGTGCCCCTGGAGGAAGATGTAACAAATGGGAATGCTGGGACAAAAAGAGGAATGAGAAAGGGGCAGACAAGGATGCTACCTCTCACTTATCCAGCCTAGGACATGAAAGAATGAATCACGGAAACCACAAAGAGCTACAAGGACAAGCACTCAACAATTCATAAATAACCTGTGGATCCTACAACCCCCAAAAGACCAACAGTTTCATGATTAGTTGTGCCAGTGATGGGAAGCTTAACTATTCTAAGCCTTCTCCCCAAGGGGGATTTGAACACATAGTCTTTGCTGCTAGCTCCTTTTCCTAATTTTTTCTTTTGTACCGGACTACTGTGTTATCTTCTTTCCTGAACGTATGACCTCATCCTTGATTCTCTTCCCCAGCCTAATTTGGGTTATGATCTCACCTATCCCCATCCTCCCCACCCCAGGCCTAGCTAAACTCCTTTGCCTCCCATCACCACTACCTCAAGGACCCAGGTGTCAATAGGTCCTGAGGTCTGCTTGCCTTGTTTTTATAAACCTTGTTCCCTAAACATATTACGAAAATTAGTATCTTCTTCGCCCCATGAAATACTACATTGAAACTTGGGCACTAGGGGAGAGTGACTATATTAGCGTTTTCTACAATTTATTTGTTTCTCCTCCTCCTCAAAGAGCAACAAAACTCTTCCGACCTCACATAAACTTTGTGTTCGCTAGTCTGGTAAGACTTCTTTTTTCTCACTGATCACCTTCAATTTGCCTTCTTCACTCATTCCCTTTCTTTTCTCCTTTGTGTTTTTCTTTGCCAGTGGCTCCTTTTCCATTGTAGGTCTGCTCTAGGTACTACTTCTTAAAATTCTCATTCCACTCCTCCAAACAAACCTGTTTACTGCCATCTTAGTCTGTATGATTCATAAGAAAGTTCTCTGTCCCCTTTCCTTCACTGTCACCTTTCATCCATTTGCTTTTATCCATTGTCATAAAGTATCTTTTTGGTCTGAACACTTCAGTGAATATGAAATATGTCACCTATTTCTTCCAATCAGGCTTCAGTTCTTTGGATCTGAAAAGAGATTTCTATGCTATTACACTCTTCTGTTTTTCCAGGGTTGAATTTCAGATATTTTTCTGCAACGAGGTATCCAAAATGCCTTTATTACCTGAGCTTCCGGTGGTGCTTCTGAGCAGCTGTATTAAGAAGCAGTGTCCTCCCCACTGGTTTGGGAGCCTAGAAGGAATAGGAATACAGTAAGCAGAAGCCTAGCTTCTGTCCTTCCCCAGGATAATCAAAAAAGGTAATTCCAAAACCACAAAGACATTGAAATCCAGGAGTCCCTCCCTCATCCTGTTCTCCAGAAATAACAGCACATTTATCCAGGGTACCCAGGCAGCTGAACAGAGAAAAAGCCGTATCTTAAGCTCTAATTTGTAGGAATACATCTCAGGAAAAAAATTTTTTTTAAATATATTTTTATTGAAGTATAGTCGGTTTACAATGTTGTGTCTGGAAAAATTCTTTATGTGTCAAACTTCATTGTTTTCCTTACATCGCATTCTTCATTCTCTACCTTTACCTATTCCCCAAAGACTAAATTTACTTCCAATCCCAATTTCAGGTAAATGCACAAATAAAAATGAAGACTCAACACTGTCCCCATGTGAACAGAGAAGCACGAAAAATCAACCTTACAGGTTTCACTTTTATTCAGGACTGATTAAAACACAGATGTGGAGGTTACTTAAATGAGAAAAGCGGCACTAGAGGAAAAAGAACGATTATTTGTTTCTGGGGCAGAAAAAGAGGTCAAGGGGGAGTCACTCAAGCGGAAGCCTTATTAACAGACTTCCAAGGGAAAAAACAACAACAACAAAAACAGGCTCCTGTGTGTGTGTGTGTGTGTGTAAAATCTTCTAAGTGGCAGCTCTGTATCATGTGCTAAATCAGGTGTGACAGAAACTGAAAGCACTACTTTGTCCTTACAAAGCTACCAATGGAAAAACAAAACTCATGCTAAACTGTCAATATCTGAATCTACACACACCAGGAACATTTGGCACAGAACAGAGCCTTAACCTCTGGAAACAAAAAGTTGCACTGACCAATGCTGGGAGAAACTACCCACTGTGGTGTATAAGTCCTCTAGAACACTGCAAGCCTCAAACCAAATAAAAATATTGTTTCTCTCAAGATCAGCAAGGTGTGAATGTACAAAAAAAAAGTGACAAGACAGAAAAACAAGGTGGAAAGCCAAATTCTTGGTCCCATAAACACAGATTTACAGAGTGGGCACAAGTTTTGCATCCCTTCTTTGCCAGCAGTTCCAGTAACTGAAAAGCAGTTAGCTTTCTCCCTCACTCCCAACAGTAACTGGGGTCACATCTTCAATCCCAGAATGATCCTTGCTCCTTGCAACTAAAACATTAAAGAAAAACTGAGTCTAGGTCACTGAGAGGTTAGCCAATCACAGGCTAATAAAAGGACTGAAAGAGGCAAAAGGTCTGCGGGAATGACAACAAAGAGCCAAACCTGTGCACTAGGTTCCTACAACGCAAAACACATTTCGGAAATCTTAACCTCGCCCTCTGGAGGGGCTCAATGAGGATTTCTCCAGGAGAAGAAGCAGTTTGTGACCCCAACCGCGCTAACAGAGAACGGTTACCATTCCGGAGAGCTGCTAGCGCTGCCATCAGAGCCCGGGATCAAGAGGTTGAACCCAGCTGGAGTCCCGAATGCGCTGAGGGCGAGAGGTGCGCCCGCCAGAAAGAGGAGCTTAGAAGAGACTAGGGGTAATGGCTTTCCGTGACCCCGCAATCCTTGCCCCAACAGGAGTAGGGCCCGAAATTGGGAATTCCTCGTTTAGAGAGTAGGAGGTCGATCTTTCAAGCAGAGGGGCATGAGCGAGGCCCCGCAGGCGATGCTTCCTTGTTTGGGGGCCCTTTCCCGCCCGGGGGAGTCGGACACCCCGGCCCGCGAGGACACAGCCGCGGGGGCGAAGGAGCCTGAGGACACTCTCTGGGCCAAGCCGGTGAGAAGAGATAGAGGGTCTAGGCGCGGCCTCTTTCGCTCCCTCGTTCAGCGGAGCAACGGGCTCCGGGGGGCCACTTCCTCCAGAGCTCGGAGCCCAGGCCTGCTTGGCTTCAGTGAGTCTGACTCGGCGGCCCCCAATCCCGGCGACACTCACCGGCCCATCTCACGTCGCTCTCCGGGCTCCTCCCGCTCGTCCCGGAGCCGCCGCAACCGCGGGCGCCGCCACTCCCCGGCCCCGGAGCCGCC